ATAATAATAATAATAATAATAATAATAATAATAATAATAATAATAATAATAATAATAATAATAATAATAATAATAATAATAATAATAATAATAATAGTAAAGTTGGAAGGGACCTTGAGGGTCATCTAGTCCAACCCCCTGCTCAGGCAGGAAACCCTATACCATTTCGGACAAATGGCTGTCCAGTCTCTTCTTAAAAACTTCCAGTGTTGGAGCATTCACAGCTTCTGGAGGCAGGTTGTTCCACTGATTAATTGTTCTAACTGTCAGGAAGTTTCTCCTTAGTTCTAGATTGCTTCTCTCCTTGATTAGTTTCCACCCGTTGCTTCTTGTCCTGCCTCCAGGTGCTTTGGAAAATTTCAAAGCAATCGGTGAAGAACTTTCGGAGATTTAAGATTTTGAACAAACGAACATTTACATTTTTATTTTATATATAGAAAGAAGATTAAGGGCACTTACAGGATCAGCCAAAATCACAACTTGCACAGTTGCTTTCCCGGGGGTGTCCAGGCTCAACAAAGGAGTCAAAATCTTCTGGTTCTCCTTTTTCATTAAGGCTTCAATAACAGGCAACTTGGCCAACGGCGAGAAACAGGATCCAAGCAAGGAGACATTGGGGAGGGGGGGGAGAGAGGAGGCCAAATAAAAGATAGGCACGGTCAATTTTCTGCAAACAACAGCCCTCCTGAGAAAGTATTTTCAAAAGATAAAAAAAAAAGTGTATTTTCAAAACAGGCAAGAAAGTGTTTTCACAAACGTAAACGAAGTATTTTCCAAACGCAAATGAGAGAGCTTTTTCAAAATGTAAATATTTTCAAAATGTGAGAGTATTTTCCAAAACGCAAAGTATTTTCAAAAGGTAAAAAGGAAGTGTTTTGAACATGTAAAAAGATTTTTCAAAACATAAAGAGGGTTTTTAAAACGTAAAAAGGTTTTCAAAATGTAGAACGAATGTGCAGAACAGGAAAACCTTTTCAAAATGTAAAAAGAAAGTATTTTCAAAACAGAAAAAGAAGGTATATTTTCAAAAGGTGAAAAAAAGCACTTTCAAAATGTAAACAAAGTTCTTTTCAAAACGTAAAAAATATTCTGAACATGTAAAAAGGTTTTTCAAAACGTAAAGAGGGTTTTTAAAACGTAAAAAAGGTTTCAAAATGTAGAAAGAATGTTCAGAACAGAAAAACCTTTTCAAAATGTAAAAAGGAAGCATTTTCAAAACATAAAAAGAAAGTATATTTTCAAAACATGAAAATAAAGCACTTTCAAAATGTAAAGTTCTTTTCAAAATAAAAACAAAGTATTTTCAAAAGGTAAAAAGGAAGTATTTTGAGCATGTAAAAAGATTTTTCAAAACGTAAAGAGGGTTTTTAAAACGTAAAAAGTTTTTCAAAACGTAGAAAGAATGTTCGAAACAGAAAAACCTTTTCAAAACTTAAAAAGAAAGTATTTTCAAAACGTAAAAAGAGCTTTTCGAATGTAATTTTTTTCTCCAAAACATAAAATCATTTTTGAAACATTACTCAAAATCCTCAATCCCTTTCTTATTCCTTACAGTTTTGTACTATAAACATACGGATAAGTTCTTGACTTACAGCCATTGGTTTAGTGATTGTCTGGTGTTCAACAGCACCCAAAAAATAAGACTTATGACCGTTTTTCACACTTACGACTGTTGTGGCATCCCCGTGGTCATGTGATCAAAACTGGGGCGATTGGCAACTGGCATGTACTTACGACAGTTGCAGCATCCCGGGTTAGGTGACCACCTAGCTCATTTCCAACAATCCAAGTCAGGGGTAGGCAACCTTGGCTCTTTTATGACTCGTGGACTTCAACTCCCAGAATTCCTGAGCTGGCATGGCTCAGCAAAGAAACCTCTCCCTTTCTCCTCAGCATGGCTGGCTCAGGAATTCTGGAAGTTGAAGTCCACAAGTCATAAAAGAGCCAAGGTTGCCTACCCCTGATTTAGGCTATTCGAATCTATCCTGTAAAGCAGGGGTCTTCCAACTTGGCCCCTTCATGACTCGTGGACTCCAACTCCCAGAATTCCTGAGCCAGCAGGGCTCAGCATGGAAACCTCTCCCTTTCCCCTCAGCATGGCTGGCTCAGGAATTCTGGGAGTTGAAGTCCACGAGTCATAAAAGAGCCAAGGTTGCCTACCCCTGATCCAAATCAATGGGGGAAGATGGATTCATTTAACGACTGCATGATTCATTGAACAAATGTGGCGAAAAAGGACACAAAGTGGGGCAAAACTGATTTAATCACTGACTTGCTTAGCAATGGAAATATTTTGGGGTCAACTGCGGCCGTAAAATGGGACCTCCGTGTCTCTCGCACCCGGATCTCACCTCTTCCTTGGGGCAAGAGAAGGCGATTCGCCCGAAGGCCGTGCCATGGTCCACAGCCTGGCCGATGCTTTGCAGCTCGAGTTTACACTAGAAGAAAGAAAGAAAAACAATTAGACTTGCAAAAAAGCCACACAAAAAGGACACCAGTCAGTTTTCGCGCAGCTGTCAATCTGGTTCAGGATGCCACAAACTTCTGGATTGTAAATTTTTGTGGACTTTGACAGTCTTGTTCTAGTTTTTCTGTCTTGGGAGAGAGTGCCCCAAAGGTGTTTTTTTCAGGAGGCAACTGGACTTTCCTTGTTTTTTTCTTTGGACGTTTCGCTTCTCATCCAAGAAGCTTCCTCGGCTCTGACTGGATAGTGGGGAATGGAAGGATTTATATTCTTTAAGACTTCCACTCCCAGAATTCCCCAGACAGCATGCTTTAGGAATTGCTTTAGGCAGCTGAGGAATCCTGGGAGTTGAAGTCCACCCATCTTAAAGCAGGCTGGCTGGGGAATTCTGAGAGTGGAACTACACCTGTCTTAAAGCATGCAGGCTGGGGAATTCTGGGAGTGGAAGTCCACCCATCTTAAAGCATGCTGGCTGGGGGATTCTGGGAGTTGAAGTCCACCCATCTTAAAGCAGGCTGGCTAGGGTATTCTGGGAGTTGAAGACCAACCCCTTTAAAGCTTATTGGCTGGGGAATTCTGAGAGTGGAAGTCCACCCATTTTAAAAGCATGCAGGCTGAGGAATCCTGGGAGTGGAAGTCCACCATCTTACAGTGTCCAAGGTTGGGAAACACTGCCCTAAGAACGTCAATCTCACCTGGTTATCGGCATAACCGAGCAAAACATTCTTCTTCCCTTCGTCCTTCTCGTATACTTTCATGCCCAGCAACCTGGACCAGTATTCTACCGATTTCGGCAGGTTGGATACAGCCAGAGTCACCTTCAGCACCGGATCTGGAGGGTAACACCAACACAGATGGCCTTGAGTCCAGACTTTGTGGCAGGAGAAGGTGAGCTGGTGGGCCACTCGGCCATTCAAAAGAGCTTGGCCTGGACCAGACTCACCCTGTGACATTCGGATTCTAGCATGGATCAATTAGAAGCCTTCACCAGCACATCCCAATTAGCAGTCAGTCCCGCTGTTTCCCATCCCCTTTTGAAGGATATATGAGTGCTTAGAATAAAATAAAGCTGGAAGGGACCTTGGAGGTCATCTAGTCCAACCCCCTGCTCAAGCAGAAAACCCTACACCATTTCAGACAAATGGCTGTCGAGTCTCTTCTTAAAAACTTCCAGTGTTGGAGCATTCACAGCTTCTAGAAGCAGGTTGTTCCACTGGTTAATTGTTAACTGTCAGTAAGTTTCTCCTTAGTTCTAGGTTGCTTCTCTCCTTGATTAGTTTCCATCCGTTGCTCCTTATCCTGCCTTCTGGCGCTTTGGAGAATAGCTTGACTTCTTTGGGGCAGCCCCTGAGATATTGGAACACTGCTATCATATCTCCCCTATTTCTTTTCTTTAGACTAGCCCAGGGGTTAGCCCAGAATTCCTGAGCCAGCATGGCTCAGCTTGGAAACCTCTCCCTTTCCCCTCAGTATGGACGGCTCAGGAATTCTGGGAGTTGAAGTCCACGAGTCATGAAAGAGCCAAAGTGGCCTACCCCTGGCCTAGCCAAACCCAAGTCCTGCAGCCGTTCTTCGTATGTTTTGGTCTCCAGGCCTTGGATCATCCTAGTTGCTCTTCTCTGCACTTTTTCCAAACTCTCAACATCTTTTTTGTAACGTGGGGACCAAAACTGGATGCAGTACAGGTAGTCCTCAGCTTATGACGACAACTCAACCCAAAATTTCCATTTCTAAGTGAGACATTTGTGAAGTGATTTTTTTGCTCCATTTTATGACGTGTCTTGCCACAAGTTAAGTGAACCACTGCAGTTAAGTCACAGGGTTCTTAAGTGAATCCGGCTTCCCCATTGACTTTGCTTGTCAGAAGGTCGCAAAAGGGGATCACGTGAACCCCCTGGGACACTGCGGCCGTCATAAATATGAATCCGTTGCCAAGGGCCCGAATTTTGATCACCTGACTCTGAGGACGCTGCAACGTTCGTGTGAAAAACGCTCATAAGTCATTTTTTCCAGTGACGTAACTCTGAATGGTCACTAAGTGAACTGTTGTAAATTGAGGACTATCTGTATTCCCAGTGTGGTCCTACTAAAGATTTATAAACCGGTACACTTTATTCAAAGCTCTTGAGGATAAGCTCTTGAAGGCAGGACAAGCGACGGATGCACACTAATCAAGGAGAGAAGCAACCTAGAACTGAGGAGAAACTTCCTGACTGTTAGAACAATTAACCAGTGGAACCACCTGCCTCCAGAAGCGGTGAATGCTCCAACACTGGAAGTTTTTAAGAAGAGACTGGACAGCCATTTGTCTGAAATGGTATAGGGTTTCCTGCCTGAGCAGGGGGTTGGACTAGATGACCACCAAGGTCCCTTCCAACTTTATTATTATTATTATTATTATTATTATTATTATTATTAATCTTCCCTGAGTTTAGGCTTCAGAGCATCATCAGATGGGCAAATGGGGTGGCTGCAGCCTCATTGTTCTGTTCTGCTCCTTACCTTCTTGAGGTCGCTCTTTGTCTTCCAGAAAGAACTTATATCCTCCCGGGGCTTCCGATTCGTAAAGGCCTGCTGAGATCTCCTTCAGTGGCCACCGCAATTTTCTGGCGTTTTTCACAGCTTGGCTTGATGCAACAGTCATCCCCTGTATAACCACCGGAAAAATAATAAATAAACAAATAAATAAACGAACAAACAAAGACATTGCGCATGTCTGCATGATGGTGGACGTTGTCCTTTAGCTCCGCACTAATGGAGCGGAAGAAGGGTAGAGGGGGGGCTTCGGAGACCCCCGAAGGAGCCAGAAGAGAGACCCCCGAGGAGCCAGAGGATCTGCCCCCTCCCTGGTGAGTTTTCCGGGAGGGGGAGAAGATAGCCGCGGGCCGCTCGCCGTTTTCTTTCTC